AACTTCAGCCAATCTGTAAAGGTGTGCTGTCATCGATTGTTATGCTTTTCTCTCTGGCTTCAATTGTGGAAACACCTACCCAGGAACCACCACCTGTGCCCATTTTCAGATGTTTAAAAAATCTGTGAACTTGTGCTCCTTCTTTTATTTAAGAAGTGTCTGCCAAGTTTTGAGTGGGATGGTGTTATGTCTAGAATTGGACTTACATCTTCCCAGCTGAGCTCAAAGGATAGCTCAGAGGTAGAGAATCTGCAAAATGTGGATGAGGTCATGGACCCAATCCAATAGCACCAGAATAAAAAATAAAAGATAGTGTAATAGTTTTTACAACTATAAATGGCTACTTTTTAAAGTGAAGAAAGATCAAGATTGAAATTAATATATGAAATATATATAAAAGGAAAGAAAAAAAATCAAAATGATCTTAAGAAAAAATATGATAAAATAATAATAATAATAATAATAATAATAATAATAATAATAATAATATAAAGGTGAGAAAAAGGAGTTAAATTTTCTCCTTGCCAAGATGGTCAGAAAAGTTTTAGTGGGTCTTCATGTCATGAAGTTCAGGATCACTGAGTTCACTGTGTCTTCTCCCTTTGTCATCACAGTCCCCACAGCTCACAACATAAACTCCTGAGGGCAGCAGAAACCTCCAGGAAATCACAACAGCCCCATCTTGAAGTCTTTTTAGCACTCATTAAACACTCTCCAATCAATAAATTCTTTAATTCTTTGTCATTCTTTCTTCCAAGCAAACTCCAGTAAGTTTTTCTACAGAATGAATTCCAAGCATGGTCATTTTTTAGGGAACACCTTGTTGAAATCATTTTAATTGGCTAGATCTTAGGCTATAATTAGAAAAACCATATTATTATCCTAACTAGACAACCTCACCCCCTGCTAAAGAGTACCACACCTATCCAGCTTGACCTGCTGATTGTGCATTCCCTCACCAACATGAAACATATCAGAATTCTGCATTGCCGGTCTTGTGAAATTAGGAACACATGGTTTCTTACAGTGTTTAAAATGATGATATTACTGTGTTTGCCATTTGGTTGGAATTAGAAGTACAAAGAGAGGAGCTGGTGAGATAGCTCAGCAGTCTAAAGCATCTGAAGGTTTCTGTCAGACACTCTCCCTGCCACAATTGCTTTGTGTGACTGGAACTTGCAAATCAATTCTGCAGAGTGACCCTGGTATATGTATTTATTCTGGGCTTTCAGACCCTGAGAGCAGTTCAGGTTCCAATAGTAGAACACTTCTAAAGATGGTTCCTACTCTGCTTCAGAGTTGGCTGACAGAAAAACAATGAATGACTTCTCTAGAGTGAGTGCTTGCACAGATTCTAGGTCACCTATTTGTCTGAAGAGTGTAGGCTTTGGCACTATACTATGACTCTTTCTCTTGTTCTTTGTCAGAGAGTTGAGAATCCCTTTGATCCAACCAATGTGCTAGGCACCGTATGCTGGGATATTCTGCTTCTTTGTTCTGTTATCTTTCCTGATCTCTAATGTTAACCAAGTTTTATTTCTGTTCTGTATATTTACATTGTTCACCCTCAGGCAATTATATCCTATAGCGGTTACACATGTGTCACTTGGTTTCCATTGTCTAAAGGAACAAACCATGCTGTGTATCTCTGCCATTTCATTTTGAGCCTGCTTTCCTCTCTGCCATTTAAGTTTTAAAGGATGAAACACATAACAGAATAAGTCATTAATCCTAGAAAAAATGTTCGTGAATAATGATTATGCCATGGAACTAGAAATATGTTACCAGGAAAGATGAAATTTTTATTCTCAAACATTTAATAATTTTGTGCAAGTGTTATCCCTAAATACTCATCGTTAACAAACAATACCAAAAGAGACATCATTATTATTTTTGTGATGAATCAAACGTGTGTCAGATTAGAACTTGGAGAGGTGTGAAATTCATGAGAATGAAAAATTTCTGTTTGTTATTGAACATTTTATAGGACTAAGAAAAGTAGAATGATGACAAGAGGGTTCTTCAGATAGGAAGGCAGTGAGGATAAAGACCATAGTTATGAATCTAAAATTGTGGCGATATTATAAAGATTTCTCCATCGAATATGACATTGACCTTCCTAGTATCTCTTCTCAGTTATTAAAATATCTCACATTTCCTTTATACATTACAAGTTTCATTTTAATCACATACAGCATCATCATTCTTAGGTACAATGCTAAATCCAAATATTAAATTCTAGAGACAATAACATTGAGTCATTTATGACTTACTAAATATTAGAACATATGGAAGAATCTACTAGTTCTTTCTGATATTCATTCATTCTCCATTTACTCCTCAGCAAAAATTGTCCTGTGTCTAAGATAGAAACACAGTCATACAGAGTCACCATGCAATATCTCAAGTTGCTATGCAATTAAGTTTATCTATGTGACAAAAGTCCTAAACAGGACACATATAGAAGTTTCTCTAGTCAAGGGACACTGCAGTCTCCATCCTTATATGTTGAGCTGATATCAAGCTGATAGATATGGAAGAGTAATATGGAACCATTTTTTGAGAAGAAAGATGAAAGCTACATGTAGTACAGTAGAGCAACAATTTGAAAGAAAGATATATGTGTAGCACCGTGCGTGTGTGTGTGTGTGTGTGTGTGTGTGTGTGTACAACCTTGGTATACACAATCAAGATTAATCTTAATGAATACAGAGGATGAAAAGTCCAGCATCTTATCCAGATAGCATCTGAAAATGAGAAACTTTTCTGTTGCAAATTAATTCATAGTTGTATCATACAGATGAAAGATGAACTCCATATGAGGACATAATTTTAATGTGTCACAGTGACTAGAGATAAAATATATTTGATCTTTTGTGTTCAATTATGAAAAAACTTTAATGACATGTGTCTTTGTCTAATAGTATTATATAGGTCCTACATATTTGTCTTTTTTCTTATATAATAGCTCTGATTCTTTAAATTTGTTTATATTTTTCTAGTAGAGGTCCTTGTGCATTTTAAAATCTATTTACATCACACTAATACTTTAATACTGTATCTTTAAGTATCTCTCAAAATACTAGAGATATTTCAGATACTTTACTCTTCTAAATGTTTTAAGCAAGTTTAGTACATGTATAAAGATTTGAAAACTTCATTTATAGTTATTTTAGTTATTGAGCAGAATGGAAATTTTCTATGTGTTCTACATTTAATGCCTAGAGTAAGGAAAAAATTATACACATAAATCTTATAAAACATACATAAGCAATATCAGTTCAATATCCACATGGCATATGTGTCGTACATTATAATGTTCACAAATATGCAGCACATAATTTTTACCTATACATGGAAAGATACACACACAAAGATTTTTTGTAGGATAATGACATAGAGAATGAAAATAAGAAATCATCATCTAAAATACAAGAACCAAGTTATTCTTCCAGTTTTCAATGAATACAAAGCTTCCTCTCTCTGTCTCTTGCATGTTCTGGATTTGTAGAATAAGACAAAGGCAACATATATGATGACAAATGTAGGACAAAACAAGAACTGTTATATGTCCATTAGAAAGAACAGGTTATTTAAAAAATGCAACTTAGTTCAAAAATCTCATGTTGTATTAAAGATGGATAAATGTTCTTGGATGTGGCTTGGTTTTAGAGTAATTGTCTTAGTGGTAGAGTGAGACTCTGGGTTCAATCTGCAGTATCACAAAAATGATGAGAAATAGGGGAATTTGGGGAAAAAGAGGAAGAAGGATGAGAAGTAGGATGAAGAAGGAGAAGAAGAGGAGGAGAAGCAAAAAAAAGAAATGAAAGAAGAACAAAAAGAAGAAGGGAAAGGAAGAGAAGAGATGTGGAAGAGGAAGAAAAGGAGGAGAAAGAGGAAGCTGAGTGGAGGGGCAAAAAGCTGTGTTCTCGTCTCACTCATAGTCCAAGAGGAGAACTCCAAGTTCAAGGCAAGCATGGGCAGCTTAGCAAGACCTACACGAAAACCAAAATCAACAAATAAAAAGGACTGGAGAATTAGCTCAATAGTAGAGCATTTGCCTAGCATGGGCAGCATTCCATTTCAATCTGAGTGCTACAAAAAGAAAAAAAAAAGGTAGAAGGAAAAGCAGGAGAAGAAAGAAGAGAAAATAGGGGAATAAGGAGTGGAAGGAAGGAAAAAAGAAGGAAGGGGGAAAAGAAAGGAGGGAGGGAGGAAGAAAAGAAAAGAGGGGAATTGAGAGGAGGAAATGAGGAAGGAAAAAGGCTTGTGCTGTACGTTAGGTAACAACACACAACCTAATAAAGAACGGTAAAGAATGGCACAGTGCTATTTGGAGTTATCAATATAAGAATGTCACTTCTAAATCAGAAATACTATAACGTGGGTAGGAAAAAAGCATGATATTTGTGGAGTAAGGAAAAGTATTTAGAGAATTATTAGGAAGTAGTGGTGATAGCATAACCTTAAAACTGTGAAGGAAAGATTATTGTAAAATATGCTAAATATGCCCTCCATTGACTCTTGTAAATACCATCTACTCTATCCCTAACTCTATGTGATGAGGAACAAGTTTATTGCCCTTCACATGCCTCCATATTCCTTAATATAGGACTACATAGTAAGACTTAGGAGTCATATTTCATGTCTCCCAATTGCTTAAATTTATTTATTTCAAGGACTGTGCTTTCAGAAATATTTGCCAATTAATCTAGTTTAACATTTTAGGTGTTTAAGGGTACAGGAATATATACTACTGTAGATATTCCAGGAATTAAGGTACATGAATCTGGCCTTAAAAAAACCTGTGTTCCCAACATATAAAATATACACAACTGTATGAAGAATGTTTTAAATGTTTAGAGGTGATACCCTTCACACTTTTCTTCTAAATAATCATACAATAGTAATAACCTCATGATCTATGGACACAAACTGATAACCTTAGACTTTTTTCTTATAAATAATGGAAATTATAAATTTTCACTGAAGCAAATATTCTATTTCATAAGAAACTTTTCAAGGATCTTGTTTAGGGCAATTTTGACATCCTTATTCCTCAGGCTATAAATCAGAGGGTTCAGCATGGGCACCACAGTAGTATAAAACACAGAGGACACTTTCCCTTGGTCCATGGAACTGACTGATGTGGGCTGCAGATACATGAATGATAGAGAGCCAAAGAAGACAGCCACAGCCAAGACATGAGAGCTGCAGGTGTGGAAGGCTTTGGACCTGCTGGCAGTGGAGCGGATGCGGAGGATGCTGGCTATGATGAAGATGTAGGAGATAAGGATAGTGAGAGTTGGGAGAAAAATATTAAATGCACTGAAGCACAGTGTCACCACCTCATTGATAAAAGTACTGGAGCAGGAGAGTTCCAGTAGTGGTAAAAGATCACAGAAGTAATGATTTATTACATCTGCCTTGCAGAAAAGCACTCTCAGCAAGCAGATGGTATGAGCTGTGGCACCAACTAAACCCATGCCATACACCGCAGCCACCATCAAGCAACAGACTTGAGAAGACATGGTAGCATGGTAAAGCAAAGGCTTACAGATGGCAACATAGCGGTCATACGCCATGGCAGCCAACATGTGACACTCTGAGATGGCAAATGCACTGAATAAGTAGAACTGAGCCATGCATTCTGAGAAGGAGATGACATTCTTCTCTGTCACAAAGCTGACCAGCATTTTGGGGATGATGACAGTAGACTGACAGAGGTCAATGAAGGACAGACTGCTGAGGAGATAGTACATGGGGATGTGCAGGTGAGAACTGAGCCAAATCAGGGTGATCATGCCCAGGTTGCCCACTGCTGTGAACACGTAAATTCCCAGGAAGAGGAACAAGAGGGGCAGCTGGAGCTCTGGCTTCTCCGTTAAGCCAGCAAGGGTGAAATCAGTGACTGTGGAATGGTTTACCACTCGCATTTTCCTTTGTGAATTCTATTTAGAATGAACACAAATTTTCAATGCAGGCATTTACTATCTCATGAAACGATGAAGTATGTAACTCTAGTCTTTTTAACCAGGTATTTGTAGGTCTCTTCCAGGTTCTCTTTTTTGTTGGCTGTCAATGACCTTGGGGCCCTAGACAGATGGGACATGTCAGTAAACATCAAATTTTAATCCTACCTGTGATTCCTAGTATTTGCATGGTTATTATTGGCACTTCAGTTGGTGAACACCCAAAAAAACTGTTAGAATAACTTTGATTGATTGTCCCTGAAGATTTCTTGGTCTTAATTGTAATCCTGTCTACTCTGCAGAGAAGAAAATGTAATGATACTTTAGATAGTGGTAGCATATAAAATACAAACACACCCTAAAATAATACTTAGTAGTAAAAGACTGAAAGACTTTCTATTAAGCTATGCATACTATGAAGAAATTAGGTTATGTGAGAAAAAGAAACCATGGACTAGTAGAAATCAACTGAATTGTACAATTATTTTACTAATTTTTTTCGTATTTTTTATTTTATTTTTTATTTTTTTCCATAATTTTATTGACATTACTAATTTAATATATGTAATATAATAACTGTTGTTAATTTCCTACCATCTTGTTTTGAATTTCTATATCACTGTTATTGTATTTTTCTCTTTAAGACAAAAAAGGAATTATGAAATTTATAGAAAATAGTGGCAGGGCCTGAGGAGACAGCTCAGTAGAGTAAGTGCTTGCCTGGCAAGCACTGGGCCCTGAATTCAATCCCCAGTACTGCAAAAAAAAAAAAAAGAAAAAAGGAAAAGAAGAGAAAGAAAATACTAGCAAGCATCATCCGTACAATGATAGTGAGCCAAGAAAGTACGCTTTTAGTTGCATATGGACTGATACTAAAGTCAGTTTTTGACAGTGGTAAGCAAATAGTTTCCTGTGTGTGTTGAGAAGAAAGTGATAAATAACGTAGAATTCCTGCTTTCCACAGTGTCACCCTCCTTAAGGGGACAGAGAGAAGACTGGGTAATGTGATAAATACCTTGCTTGTCCAGGGCACACAGGGAGGCAGCTGTTACAGTTCCAGCTTAGAAAGGAGGACTGTGAGTGTTTTTCAGAACAGCTTAAATCTGGAAGAAAAAGTAGAGATAAGGTAAGTTCATGAAGCACTGACTTAACAGTGTTTTATGTTCAGGAGACATAGATCCAGAGAAAAACACCAAGATGTGTCCAAAATAAAAGATGTTATAAACCCACAAAATAAACTGCATCTAATGAGTTGTGCTTAATTCTGATAATGGTACGGGGATGCATGATATGGTATCGGGGGGATATAAACTATAATTACCCAGGAAGATGAGGGTTTAGAGAAAATTAATGTATACCTTCTTTCAGCATGATTAGTAATACAAAGACTGATGTTGTACGCTAAGAGAGCAAAGCTATATTCATTGGAATGTTTTGCCTTATAGTCACTTATTAAATTATGAAAAAGAAAATATTATTTCTCCAAACATGGTCTGGAAAATTATGAGTAAGGCTTTTCAGGTAGCTCTAGGACATCTTGCGATGTCATCATGAAAATCTTCCATTTTCTGAGATTGAAAGATGCAATTCAGATACTTTTTCTGCTTGACAACCTCCATCTGCATCATCATAAACTTCGAGTAGCTGTTCTTTAAGGCGCACATCTTTTGATGACATTGTGGTGTGAATTCAAATCAGAGTCCTTAGCAGTCTTTTACCTCATATGTTGAAAGGCGGATTTCAAACCCTGAGTAGCTGATAGACATATTATCAGTTGAATGCCACAGTGCCTCTCAGTTTCTTTATGAAGCCTATGGGGACAATATGATGTCATTTTTTGCAGTTTTCAAATATAAGAGTGATGACAAATATATGCACAAGATCTCCAGGGATTTTTGTTTTTTACAAGATCTTTCACCAGGGATTTTTTTTTGTCAACATTCTCATTAGCTCTCTCATGTACAATTTTCTGTCTATTTTGAGGTAGTAGTAGTCATTAGACTAGAAATTAAAAACCAGCAGGCATAATTCCTAACTGGCCTTTGTGACAACAACTTTTCATATAAAAATTATTTCTGAAATATTTAAATCTATTCCTTCCATGTAAGTCTTGGAGAGCTAGTTCATTATGTGTAAATATGAGTGGAAATTGCTCTTCAGAGTTTTCAGGACGCTTTGTGGCATAGCCTCATCAAAAGGGCTGAGTGTGACCGGTGTTGACCTAAGAAAGTTTGTAAATGAGTAAAAGTTGTAGGATGAAGGACAAAAATGCACTATATAATCAGGTACTTCAGTTGATACAGTTGTTGATATGAGTCATTTCCCACACAGGCGTAGCTTAACGATTCTGAAACCACTGAACCCATATTTTATGAATGAACAAAAATTAATAAATGCAAAGTAGATAGCAACAACCAAATTTATTGAAATGGCAGGCTGCAGGTCAGGCATGGGGGACCTTACAGTGAGCCATACAGGACAGATAGCATGAGGAAGCATCAGCCAAAACTGATGCTGAGTACAGTAAACACATAAACATATATGCACAAATGGTAAGATCCTACTGAAGGGACACAGTAATTAAATAGCAGAACTTCCCTTGGCCAGGATGGAATAATAGAAATCTTACAGATGTCATAACTGCTTTGGTATTTTCATCTCTGCCTAGAACCAATGGAATCACTCAAGGCTTCTCTTTTTTGTGATTTGAATTTTTTAACACATTATTAAAATTAAACTTCCCACAATCTACCAGCCATTTTGTGTCCCATGCAGTCTCAACTCTCGTATTTGCTGAGACTCAGAATGAGCTAGACTCTGAGACCCAGAGCTTGCCTTCAAGGCCTGCACTGCAAAAACGAAATCTCAGTGTTTTGATTGAGCTCTCTGGAGGCCAGGAGCTGTGAGATTATGATGAAGCTATGTTATCTTTATAAAATTCTTTAAAAATGCTGGCTTCATAATTAAGGAAATATAATTTGGTCTTAGTCATAGACACCTTAGACTTTAATTGTATCATGGTTCATGTTCATATGAACACTTAAATTTTTGGCTGGCGAGATAGTTCAGAGGACTAAGCACATGCTTAGGCAAGCTCAGGGCCTAGGGTTCAATTCCCAGTACCTCGTGCCCCATCAGACCCACCTCCAAGTGTGCTGAGCTGGCCACAAATACCAGGATATTGTGGCACAAGCCTCTAATCCCAGACCTGGGGAGACTGAAAACAGGAGAATCACTAGGAGTCGGAGCTTCATAGTAAGACCCCATAGCAAATACTTTAAAAAAAAAAGTCTTCCATTTCAAGGGGATATATTCAAATTAGGATAAACCTACTCACATTGGATATAAATTATTCATAGTTTATATCACGATCCATAAATGATGTCTTTAGCTCCTTTTCTGTTATTGAACTAAAATCAGTTCCATTTGTGTGCACAACAAACTCTGGCAGGTCCATCCACAATGGTGTCCGATTTGCTCTCTTGTGCTCTTGAGCCACTTGCTTCTTATGGATGAAAAGCAAAATTCATTCTGTTATTCCTTGCTTCACTCCTATGAAGTAGGCACAAGTCTGTATTTCACATGAACTTTAGAGTATGGCATGACATCTAACACCTTCTACATACTAAGGAATTATGTGTAGAAATAACCTCTTTATTGAAGCAAAAAATAAATAAACAAAAACCATAGTTCTGTTATGTCGTTAGTAGTACATAAACTAGGCAATGCATACTGGAAATTTGGTCAATGATGAGCCATATATACAAGGCTGGCTCCATAGGATCCCATCATGAGGTGATGTAGCTATTAGTTAATGTACATGTACTATATAACATTCACACAATGAACAGGTCAAGTATCAATGTTTCTCTGAAAGTGTTCCATCAGTAAGCACTGTGCAACACTACCTCAGGCTTTTGGCTTCACTTGCACCACAATGTTGTGCAAATTGGCAAGTTTTTCCGTTCCTGATTTCCTCTCACTTATACTGAACTCGTATTGACATAAACACATTCTCATGCACTCTCTCATTGCAGTGAAGTTCTGTGAGGATGTGGGATAATTTATAAATACTGCTTTATAGATTAAAAAGGTAAAATTCAATGAACATTACATTTTTTCCTTGCTACTGGGCTTAGAGTTAGAATCTATGAGAAGATTTTTGTTTTATGATTACAATTTCTATAATGGCTGTGGATTTATTCTCATTATCTATATCTTCTTGCATACATTTTGGTAATTTGTGACTCATACAATATAGTTTCTGCTATCCTAAGTGTAGGCCTGCTTTCTGTGCTTATAGAACTAATGTCACCTCCTCTTTGGAAGAATCTGCAGTGCTTGTTGGATCTCTCTTGCCTATAAACCAAGTTGATTGAGCAGTAGACCTCAAGTTTAGTTATCTAAATCTTGATATGGGGCCCAGGGAGATAGCTTAGTAGAGTTAAGTGCTTGCCTGGCAAGTGCAAGGGCCTAAGTTCAATCCCTGGTTGTGCAAAAAAATAAATAAATGAAAATATGTCTTGATATGCTATTTTAACCCATGTCAGTCCACACAAGACAGTGCAGAGATCAACCGAGAGACCTATTACAAGCTTCATGAGGTTGCTTTAACTTTGAATACTCATTAGACAACAAGCTTTGTCAATTTTACCTCAATAAAGCAAGACCATAAGAGAGAGAAAAAAAAACAGGCACAAAACTAAAAACACCACATGACCTCCCTAATATGTTAAACTTTTAAAACCTGAATATATAAAAACTAATAAAAAGAGATCTCAAGAATGGAAAATAGGGTAATCCAGGTCTAATGGTAGAACCTGTAGCTAGGATAAATAAGACATGTGTGCATGGTAAGTATAATTAATAGTACTGTACTGTATTGTGTGCAGGAAATCTGCCAAGTCAGTGGGTTTTGATTATATTAAAAACAGGAGATGAATACATTAATTTGCCTGTAATAA